AACATTAAATTTTTTTATAACATGAAGTTGTGCACCTCCCCCCTTTTTTGTTGCAGTCAGCCACATCAAACGTGTGTGAATTTATTGTTCTTATGCTCCAGTTGAGGTTTTTATACCTTTATTTAATTTGTATATAAAGGTTGTAGAATTATCAATAATTTAAAAGTTTAGGTAGCACTAGGCCTAGTGAAACTGCCATTTGTTTACATTTGAAAATCTTAGTAGAATAGTGAGTTAAATCAGTTATTTACAGTTATTTTTACTGCAGTGTGTTTTTCCTTAGTGGGATAAAAAGGTAACTTTAAATTTTGTGCACCAAAAATTTTATCTTCCTATCGTGAGGCTGAATTGCTTGTTTTTGCATAGAAAGCCTTAATTGAAGGGGGGGGGAAAACTGTATTTAGTACTACTGTATTTAAACTGTATTGTAAGTTTTAGTTTTTCTGTATTTTACAGTATTATTTTTGTTTTGAGTTTTTATGTATTTTTGCCATGCTGCAAAGTGAGAAAACTGTATTGATTGAATAAGAAATATATCTCTAATGAGATTTGAGGAAGTAAGTTTAAATGAAGTGCAGCAAAAAATGTGTATAATTTAATAGGCTGTACTAGGGAGTCATATTGTGTGCACATCAGTTTTTTTTTAATGAAATAATTTCATTCTAGTGCTATTTTGGTAAATAATAGTAATAAACAATTTCATGTTTTGGTTCTCCAAACCAGGTTTTTCATTATGTATGGCACTTTGTCTTGGAAGAATTTGATCATGAGATTTTTGTCACTTAGCAGCTGCCAGACCTTATAATCCATATTATTTTTTTTTAAATAACACTTTAGCAAAAGGAGAAATTGAAAATGTTGAGAACAAAATTACTGGATCAGTATTAATTCTTCCCCATTTTCTCATAAGTACATCATTGCATACCTACCCACAATGTAAAATAAGCATTTATAAGCATATAATACATTTAGCTTACTTTACGACTTGTGCACTTTAGGATGGTTATTAGAGTATAATATATGTGCTTTTAATTTAGAGATAGTTCTCTGAAGACAATATTTTTATAAACTATTTCATTTCAAAATTAAATTTACTTTTTTATGTTATTTAATTCTCTGCATAAAATGTTCCCTGATGTTATATTTTTGATGCCTTTGAAGGTCCAAATTTTTTTTTTTTTTTTAAACTCTTTTATCGTAGCCTATGATCCAACTTATTATTTTAATTCAGAATTTTTTTGAAAAAAATACTTGATTGTAAAATTTTTTGAAAAAGTTTTGAACTTCATTTATAAAATTCCTTATCTTAAATTAAAAATCTATGAAATTGCAAGATGGAATATATGGTCAAGTTTAGAAAGATATAAATATTTCAAGAAATGTAATAAAGTAATGTAATGAAGGTGTAAATGTTTTCTGAGTGAGTAATTTGCATAGTTTTTCATTTAATAATCAATATTTTGTAACTTAAGGAATATCTGATCTTTGTGTAAGAAAGTTTTATAATTCATGCTATTTATGCAAAAATATTTATTTTGTGTGAATATGATGATAAGTATGGCAATATGAACACATAACTTATTCTAAATAGGTATTTAACTTGTAATTTTAAATGTGTTTATACTTTAATGATTTATTTTATGTTTTAATGCATGTGGTTATATTAATTGTATAGAAAATATGAATTTTTTTATGTGTTTGTTCATTAATTTTTAATATTATCTCATGCTGTATGTAATTGTTTTAGGCACTTTTGAAAAGAAATCAGGATTTGACCTCAACTCCTGCAGAACAAACAGCTGTTTTAAATCTTGTAACAAAAATTCAGACTGTTCTAGATAATCTTGCATTATCTCCTGGCAATTTTGATGCTTGCGTAAGTTCTTTTTTTTAGGCTGACAGTATTTTTGTCATACTTGATGATCCTCACTAGAAAAGTAAATATATTATGTTAAAATAATTTAAAGTAGTTAGGTGTATTCATGATATTTTGAAAGTTAGACTGCAGTATGAACCATTTTTAGCAAGAGTTAATGCTTTGAATTTTCATTGTTGTAGTTTGTTATCTTAACTATGCTTCCTATATTATGTCATTGTTTTTAGTGGTATGCGTGAAGTTTCTGTGTATGATTATTACACATGTATAAAGCTGTAATTTTGATCGTGCTTGGAAATTTTTTTCTCTTTCATTGAAAATTTTCTTTTTGATGGAGAGGGCAGGTTTCTGATTACAGGTATTTTTTACATTTTCGAATACATCCAATGTATTCCCTAATTCACAGAGAGAATTAATTCCATTTGATCTGGTCATCTTTAAAGTAATCTTTATATTCTAAAAAGGTTAACTTTTTTATTTTGTCAATAGTAATTAGATATTTCAACTGATTAAAATTATTCATATTTATTTCTAAATGTCATTCCTGAGAGAAGTTTCTATGCTCAGAGTAAAAAATCACACCACTGGGTATCGAGTTATGGTGCTGTTGAAAGTTTTCTAATTTAAATCTAAACTTAAATCTTTTTGGCTGCATATTCATGATGAGTCTTTAGTTTTGAAATTTCTCTTCTGATTATCTTGGAATTAATTTTGCAATGCCAGTTGGTAATATTCCAGTTAAATGCTTTCCCTTTCGTGGTAAGTGCTGTAAAAATTTGGTACTTTCTAATTATCTGCACTCCCACTGAAAAGTCATGAAAAAGCGTTTGTGAGGCAATGCAGTTTGTCCTCAAAATAGTTACATAACAATTCATGAAGTCACCTAAATGTATTTATGTGGCAACCTTGATATAAGCGTAGCACATCATTTTTGGTTTGTGCACAGGGTCAGGTTTCATGGATGCTCAGTTTATGCAATTCTCTGATAGTTTCTTAAGCAAAAACAGATTGCTGTGCAAATGCAGTCACAAATACTCCCCAAAGTAGAACAGAAAGGATTCATGCAGTTTTTTAATTCATGAGTGCATTGTGGAAAAAAAAAATGCCAGAAATGCACAGGTTCGGTCTGTGAGACCCATTATACTTTATCTTAGATATATTGTACTGATGTCATTTTTAAATTAGAATACTGTCATCTTCTTAGTTAAACATATTTATGACTAAAATTCTAAAATAGATCAACAAAATAAATTTTTGTTTTTGTGAACTGTTTTTATGATAAAGGACTTTTTAGTCTTCTTTTTAAACATTATAGTGAACTTAACACTAAACAAAATAGTTAAAATATAATAAGCATTGATAAAGGTATTTTCTCTTGTTGATGAATAGTTGACTCAAAACGATGATTCATATATCATTTTTACATTCATTACAAAAATGAAGAAGAAGAAATCAGCATGCTCTAAACAAAGATATTTTTTGCTGTCCTCACACATGTTGAGTTTTTCTGTCCTTACAATATGCACATTGGCCCTTTTTTTCCTGTTTCATTTCGATGTTCCATTTCTACAACTATTCCTAACAATTTTTTCTGCAGCAATATAAATTGGAATGATTATTGACATTGCTTTCTCTTTTATATGGGTAGGGCATAAAAATGATCATTGACCAACGTTTCGTGTTTCTAGCAACATTATAAAATGCCACTTCCTCTTTGACACAGTCAACACTACCTTTTATGTTATTATGAAAAGTTATGATTTCAGGTTTCTTTTTGTCATCCATACTTTTGTCAATTTTGCCATCATGATGCATGGATGATAAGAGGATTACTCTTTTACTCCACTCCAGATGAACCTAAAGCCATATCATCTTGGAATCCAAACAAACTCAAATGCTCAACGGATTGCCTTCAGACAGTGAATCTGATATGGATCCTGATAAATGTGCAAAACATGCAATGTTGGGTTGTGCTTTTTTAAAGGTGGTATCTCTTGCTTTGAAAAGTAATACCATAAAAAAAAATAGAAGAAAGTGTAAACATGAAATGTAAATATATAGCCAAGTTACCTTTTCTTTTTTCATTTATATGCATATATTCATTTATATGCAAACATGAAATGTAAATATATAGCCAAGTTACCTTTTCTTTTTTCATTTATATGCATGTAATTACATGATGTAACCAAGAAGAGTTTTTTGAGGGGGTGTAGAGTAGCAGGCCTTCGTGTTGCGCACTCTGTGTAATGCTAAATACGCTTCAGTAATCAGAATCTAGTGTTTTTAATCATATGCAAAATCTTTTGTTCTATTGCGTGCTTCCCAGCGATACTCACTTCGTTGCTCTGATCAAAGCTCTATTCATTCAGTGAGCCCACTTTGAGCACACCCACAGAATTTATCTTTACAAAATTTTACCTGTGTACTCCGTAGGCCAATTGGTTGTTGAAATTCTAACATTAAAAGGTAGCGTGCCAGGAAGGGTTAAGTGAGGGAAGTTGTCATGAGTGGTTTCAAAAGTGTAAGAATGGTGAATTTGATCTCGAAGGCAAAGAATGGGGCGGAAGGCTGAAATTATATGAAGGCACGGAATTGAAAGCATTATTGAATGAAGATTCTTGCCAAATGCAAAAAAATTTGCACTTACATTAGGAATTACTCAACAAGCTATTCCACATCTTTTAAAGTCATTGAGAATGATTCAAAGGCAGGAAAACTGTGTTCTTAGAGCCTGTTGCCCAGCCCATGTTTTGAAAAGGAAAATGAACAAAATAATGAGTACATACGATATTAAATTTTAAAATTGGAATTATTTGTTTGAATTTTAGAGGCTATGACTATTTATGTTGAGGAGCTGAACTTATCTTTTTAAAACAGAAGGAACCGATAAATAATATTTTTATAAAGTACTAAAAATTTAAATGAAATTGAGGTAAAAAAGCATAATAATTATAACAAATAATAAATTTTTCTTTTCTGCAAATATTTAAAAAATGCTATGTAGTAGATTTTCTGTAAATTGAAGACACATGAGATAAATCTCTAGCCCTTTTCTATAATTATGAAAATAATAGTAATTATAATTTAAATTTCTTTAATAGTCCTTGGTGTTGTGGTAAATAAAATGAGCAGAAAGCGCATGTGTAATATATCATAATATGACCAAATTTGAAGAAAAGGAAAACACACAAACCATGTTTCTGATACTGCCTAAACAAGGACAGTAGTAAAGTGACCATATCTGGTCAATCGAAAATACATATGTTCTTAATGCTATACCTCTTTAATGGAGACTATATATTATTTTAGCAGTATTTGGAAACCATGTGTTCACTCTGAACAACCTTAAGAGGAACATGCTATTTTACCTCAAATATGAAAACTAGTTCATTCAGTAGGTTTAGTGGTATCGTACGCAGTTTTATGCAGAAAAATCTTTGTGTCATCATACTGGGACATCACTCCAATATGTTTTCTACTTGAATCTGAAATCCCTGACTGAGATTCTTAAATTATTTCCAACCAAGGAGGTCCTCGGTTAGAAGGTTTGTATAGACATTCCAGTTCTCATTTTACACCCTAGCTAAATGCACTCATACATACATACATACATGCAGGAGTTTCTAAATCCATTTCCGATAACAGAAAAGTACCATCAATGTTACTAGCAAATTAATTATTCACCTATTATGTTTAAAATGTAACTACTGTTTGTCCATTTAATTTTGTTATTAATTCATGTTGTTACAATTTTATTAGTTATGTGAATATATGGAATGTAGAACTATTCTATGATTACGTTCTTAAAAAATTAATTTTGAATAGCAGATCGAAGAAGTTCGTCAAGTTGGCTCTTTCAAAAAAGGAACTATGATGATAGGAAATGCTGTAGCTGATATTGTTACAATCTTGAAAACTCTTCCTACAGGTATGTTATGATATGAAATTACAATTCAAATATACAGTAAGACCCCGCTTAACGTGGGGGATACGTTCCATCAAAGTAGAGCGTAATGCGAAACAGCGCTAAACGAGGCTATCTTTACATGTAAATATTGGGGTTAGGGGAAGATGGCTAGGAAATTGGTTAGGTATTAAATTTAAAAAGTATGTTTTTTTAATAAAAATTAAATTAAACGTTTATTTCTTAAAGCCCAAATTAATACCACATTATTATTTCTTGCAAAAATAAAAACAAAATATAAATAACAAAACGAATATTCTTAAAAAAAAACAAATAAAATTTTAAGTCAGTCATATTTAGTTAGCCTTCCGCGTTTTCAGTGTTTCTGCCTTTTTGTGACAAAAGCATCTAATGTTGTTTGCCTTTTTCTTTTGCATTGTTCTCTTAAAAGTTCTTCATAAACGGATAGCATCTCTAACACCACGCCTTACTTTTGAGCTACTGTCAAAATTCGGATCATTTTCAATGAATTGATCCATTATTTCAGTTATGGTAGACAAACTCCTTTTTACGAACGCCATCGAAAGTTCTTTTTGCTCTTCTTCTGAATCACTGCTGTCAACATTTTTGTTTTCTTCTTGTTCAGTTAATTTCTTGAGCTCATCATTAGAAAGACTAGCCGCTGCTTCTTGAATTATTTCTTCGACATCTTCCACATTTACCCCTTCAAATATGTCTGTACATACCATACCGCACCAAACAAGAAATACAAGTACACTCTTTCGGATATGTATTTGAAACCTATCGCTGCATAATATTTCGGGGAATCCCCATATGCTGCGAGCGATTTCGTGGAATCCCCGGGTTGAAATAAAAGAGCGCTAAACCGAAACAGCGTTAAGCGGGGTCTTACTGTATATGTAAAGAAAGAAATTGAGAACCAGTTTCCACAAAGACCAAAAATTCAAAGTCAGATAGATAAATTAAAAAAAAAAAAAACTTATAAATGTAGAATTAGAATTCTAAAAATGTTAAAAAAGTAATTAAAATGAACCAAAGCAAAAATAAATAAATAATAATAAATAAATAAATAAATAATTTAAAAAAGGACATGAAAGAAGAGGAGTCTGATCAACTCCGACATAACGTCTTGAGGAGGAGGATATACCGAAATTATATTTACTGATAAATTTTCAGCAGCAAAATGCATGAAAATTCTTGAAATAATTTTATATTTTTCTTTGTTAATGTTTTTTGTATTTATATATATTAAACATACACTTACAGTGTAATATATGTAATGCACGTTAAGATGCATTATAGTATGAAGATAATAGCATATTAAATTTTGATATTTTCATTTTTCTTTTAATCTAAATCTAGTCATAATCTGCTTCTTATAAATCTGTAGCTAGTTTTAATAAGCTAGCTGTAAAACCACTGTATTATAGTTAATGATTGTATTTAGATTTTCCTTAAAAATGGACTTTTTGTGTTTTTGTTCAAATAAATTGAGGAACTTAATCATTAAGAAACTAGGAGTTTTAATTCTTGAATGTTTCAGTTGAGGCTGTTCAAGCTCTTGGAAATAAAGTCCTGGATGAAGTTAAGCAAGTTGATCCAAATGAAGGTTAGTTGTTTTAATCTTCTTTTAATATAATTTTTAAAAAAATCTGAAAAAACAAAAAGTGATATTAGAAGATACATGTTTTAAGTGACTCAGAGCATCCCCCTCTTTAGAAATACATGAACATGCTTTTTCCTTTATGCAATTCATCCAGCATATATTTTCTGTTATATCTTTTCCTACTTTGTTTGATAAGTTTTGTTTTATTTATAGTTTGACATATAGATATTAAATTATTCAGAACATGTCTGTATGAAGAAATTATGAAATTTAATATAGTAGCTGTTTAAGAACTTAAAATTTTCACATATCTATAAAATTCACTCTTTATCAGATTTTAAGGAAACATACAAGGAAAATAAAAAAAGAGTTTATTTATTTGACACATAGCTTCAAATTCTTGAGCTGTTTCTGCATCTTTGCTGTCTGCTATTGACATTTGTGTTGCTGTAGCTCAGGATTTGTGAGAAGATCAACGGAAATTTGCCTCTGGCTATTATTAAAACACAGTTAAGTTTCATAAAAATAAAAACACTTTTCTAAGTTTGATTGTGTGATCTTTCTGTATTAAAAGGTAATTAATGGATGAGATATAATTATCAAGAAAGTAGAAAATGTTCCTTTTAAGGAAAGCATATTGGAGATTTAGAAACTTATGTAATTAAATCAAGAGAGTAAAATCTACAAATAAATTATTTGTTTCAATGGGGGATGGAACTTCTAAGATTTATATAATAGAAATATGTGCTCAGTTACTTTAAATTAAACATGAATTAATTTTCTAAGTAAAATTTAAGTGCGAGATAAATTCATAAATTAGAACTATGAAAAATACTAACTTTGGAGAAGCTATGTCTTCAAGATTTTATAAATTGAAAAATCATTTTGTTACTTTCTGGTTTGCAACTGCATGTCATATTGCCAGGTAGTCTGCGTCATGCCATGTGTGCCATGAATCCAAAGAATGTTTTATAGTGGTTGCACATGAAGGTTAAGCAAAAATCTTAATTGCAGCAGTGCAAGTAAACATAGCAAATGATACTATAATTAATTCTAACTTTAGAGAACATTTAAAGCAGATAATTAATAATTGGCGGATATGAATACCTATAAATTAATCATAAATAGCATTTTATTGATCCTGATACCAGCTGCCACATACAAACTTTTCACTCCTATGCAATTAATTTTATGTGAATTCAATTAAGTAGAAATATACAAGTTTATGTGTTAGGTGAATTCCTGTACTAACGAGAAAATTGTTCCGTGTGGATTGGCGAGCTATCTCGGATATTGTCGGCCGAGGAAATTACTACTTGTAGACGGACCTTAAAAACTGAATTTTTTGCCGAGAGTCTTCTGCTTTGCATCTGTTCCCGTTTGTCTGTGGTTGAAATTTGGTGTGGACTTTCACCATGTGTTTATTTTCTAGTTTACTTTTGTTTTATTTAAAGTAAAAGTTATTTTCATGTTTTGCCAAAGTTCTTGACTTTCCTTTAAATGCACCTTCTGACAAGTGTGGAGTCATGTTGCAGTTAAATGCCTCAGTGTCAAATGTGCATTTGCCTGCCACCGAATACAAAGTAACCAAAAAAAATTTTTCTATTTTTGATGTTCCATTTGATGAAGTGCTCACAAAGGGAAGTGGCATGTGCCAGAAAAGTAATGGAGGGTTAGTGTGAATATTCACCTGTCTTTATGCACACACAGCAATCACAGCTTGTGACTGCTGTGTCTACTATTGAAGAGAAATAGAGATATTGAAGCAGCTTGTTTGTGGTTGTTTCAGTATGACTTTTTGGTGGGCTTGTTAGTAATTGCATCAAGTTGTCAAATACGGCAGACATTAGTGGGCAACACAACTGCCAGGCATTGGTTTCAGAAGTTCAGATTGATAGATCTTACTCTTTGTTGTGAATCCCACAGCAGGCAGCTAAAGGTCAAATGTTGAATGGTGAGGCTCTGAAGGCAGCCATACTAGGAGAGTAGTGGAACATGTGATGAGCTTGCTAAATGCTTCTATGTTCTAGAGGAAGCAATCAGATTTCACCTGCACTGCATAGGGAAAGTGTAAAACAAATGGGTACCCCCACACATAGTTTGGCAGCCAACAAGAGCCTTGAGTGATAGTCTGTTAGCATTGCAACATACCCATATTTGGATAAGTGCTTATAAGTGATGAAAGGGGGTCTAATATAACAGTGTGCAATAGCAGCAGTATGAGCCAGCATTAGTTAACTGCAAAGGTATACTGTACATCCACAACAATCTGAGACCATATGTGGAAGGGATGACCAAGGGTACCATTCAGCAACTTGGCTGTTTGATGTGTTCTCCAGACATGGCACCTACAAATTACCACCTGTTCCATTGCTGGACAACTTCTTCCATGAGAAATCCTTCACCAATGAGCTAAACCTTGACACACAATCATAGACTTTTTTGCATACTTAGATAACCCTTAAGTTTTATTGGCAGGGCATTGCACAGCTGCAGGAATGTTAGCAATCCTTCACCAATGAGCTAAACCTTGACACACAATCACAGACTTTTTTGCATACTTAGACAACCCTTAAGTTTTATTGGCAGGGCATTGCACAGCTGCAGGAATGTTAGCAACGAGTGCCAGATGCTGATGGATATTACTTAGAAACCTGATACTAAGTACCATTTGCTATGTCTCTGTTTTTGTTGATCATTTTTTGAATACCATGTATATTTCTACTTAATTGAATTCATATAGTATTAATTGCATAAGAAGACGTAAATATTTTTAAAGATGTTAAATGAAATTAGCAGCTTTATGCCTTTTATGTAATCTGGCTAATTTCCTTTTGTATTTTTCTTATTTTTAAATTTTCCTACTTAATTTGTATTTTATGGAACAGTTATTCTTTTCATGTAATTTTGCATATTTTTAGGGTTAGAATCCTGTCTCCAGCTACATTTCTCACCACATAGTATCCTATTAATTGGAAAGTAACATAATTTTTATATGAACAGAATATCTGCCTATTTATGACACTTGAAATATTTAACTGAATCGTGTATTTTTTAATTTGTTCATAATAATTAACAATATTACACCCGCAATTGGCATTGAAAAGATTATTCTCATATTGTAGAATTTTCTGGATGAGGAACTTCTATGATGAGGAAAAATTTCATGTTATTACAAAAATATTTTGAAACATTTTTTTCCCTCTTATTGTAACCACACATTTAAGTCCTAAAGTTCCCAGTACCTCTTATTGAAATCTGTGAAACAATGGCAGAGAAATGAAAGTAAGCATCTTAATTGTAAATTTTGCAAGCATTTGCGTTACTGTTTGCTTTGTATTATGTCACACTGCTTTACTAAATTTCATTGACCTTTTTTTAAAAAACATTTTATTCATTGTCATCATATGAGGCATTGATCCTAAAATACCATGAATGTGATTTTTGCTGTCTTCAATAATTCTTATGTCTTAATTTCCTGATTTAATCTTCTGAGTAGCATGACTGCTTTTATCCTGTCATGAATTTTACTGTCACATCTATATATCAACTTAAGATATTATATTTCCTTTTAGTCTGAAATAGTTTAAATACACTGGTTATCATAAATTAAGGAAAGAATCACAAAAATAGCGATAACTCCCTCAAAAATAAGCCAAACCGTGTCAAATTTGAATATGTTGCCAAGTAAGAATAGCTGAGTAAAACTGCAATATGCAAATTAGTGGCACGTTATCTGCGAGGAGAATAAAAGTCCATGTTTGAGAGCAAGCCCACATATTTTACTGTGTTAGTGACATCAGAAATGTGAGATAGCCAATTCGTAACAATGACCTCCAGGCATCATTTGCCTGCAGAACTAGGATGGAAAGCCATTGGAAGACTTGAGGCAGGGTAAAGTCATTGCCTGCAGAACTACGATGGAAAGCCATTGGAAGACTTGAGGCAGAATAAAGTCAAAAAGAAGTGGCCAGATGGCTAAATGTGAGTCCGTCTGTGGTTCATAGATTTTGGAGGCGATCTCAAACCACAGATTTGGCACCTAGGAGGTTAAGCCAAGGACGGCCAACTGCTACAAGTACCGATGACCGATATTTGATATTATGTGCACACAGGAATAGAACCACTACTCCGACTCTTCTTAGATCCTCCCATGCTGCAGCCACCGGAAGGTTGGTGTCAACGTCAACTTTGCGTAGAAGGCTTCATGAAGGTGGTCTGTATGCGAGACGACCAGCCATGTGCGTGCCACTCACGTCACGTCATAGGAGGGGTCGTTTGCAGTAGGCACGACAACATGTCCACTGGATGCCTGATCAGTGGAGGGCTGTTCTCTTTAAGGATGAGTCCAGGTTTAGTCTAGAAAACGATAGTATGCGTTATATGATATGGAGAGAACCTGGAACCCGTTATCATCTGTCAAACATCCTTTAAAGAGATGCATATGGAAGACGCAGTGTCTGTGTTTGGGGTGGCATCTCACAGCATATTTTAACGAAAATATCCATTTTGACCACTTTCGAATGCAATTTAACGATGTTTATGCGTGATATCTGTACGTAAGGACAGAATAAAAGACTCTCTCCTCCAAAAAAATTATAAAACTACCTTAAAATGAATTCTGAAGAGAATTTTTCATGGCGTCTGTACGTACGTACGTATCTCGCATAACTCAAAAATGAGTAGCCTCAGAATGTTGAAATTTTGTATATAGGACTACTGTAGCATGTAATGTGCACCTCGTATTTTAGTTGCAAACGACCACGCCAAACGTATATAAATATATTTATATATATATCCACTCTGTTACCCGGCTCAGTGATCTCAGTTTCTTTACTCTTATATGTTTGTAATCATAAATTAAGTAAATCTGTATGCAATATTTTTAGAATTATCAAAAATTTAAAGTTGTTTAAGTGCCGCTAAGCCTAATAATTTTTTTGATGGCGGCCATTGCTTGTTTACATTTGAAACAGCAGAGTAGTGGATTTGTTGCCAATCTA